TCCCTCCCTCCCTCCCTCCCTCTGTCCTTCCTTCCTTTCTTGTCTTGCTCACATCACCCCTTCTTCCCTCCCTTCTTTATTTCAGTAAACGTTCCCCAGTTCCTACTGTGCACCAGACAGCTTGCGGAGCGTTGGGGACAACTGGACAGACACAGGCTCCGCCCTTAGGCCCCTGCAGCTGGTGGGGGGGAGTGGGGAGAGGCAGATTCTCAAGCACCTTCCAGGAACTGTGGGTGACAATCCACAATTACAGCCACCAGCCCCCTTGAGTGACCTGGGGGAGGAGCCCAGGGGCCTTGCCTGTCAGGCTCACTTGTTTGCTCCAGAGGCTTCTCCTGCCTCCCTTTTGGAACCTAAGTCAGCTCAGGTCACCCCTCAGCTCAAAACCTTCCCATAGCTCCGCCTCCCTCGGAGACAAAGGCACAGATTTCTCAAGGCTCCAGAGGAGCCCCTCCCGAGCCCCCACCCCTTTTGCCCCCTCTGCTCAGCCCCGTGGGCTTCTGCAGCTCGCCGGGCGAGTGCCACCTCAGGGCCTTTGAACATGCTGCTGGCTCTGCAGGCTGCTCTTTCTCCAGTTATCCTCACGGCCCCTCCCTCACCTCCTTCGCAGTGAAACTTTTGTGACCCAACCTAACATTGCAGCCCCCCGGCCACTGCTCTATGTTTCTCCATAACACTTGACATTCTAAGTCCTCTCTCAGCTTGTTTATTCCCTGTCTCCTGCACTAGAGCCTCAGCTGCTCAAGGACAGGGATTCTGTTTGTATTGTTAGTGCCCTGTCCCCAGCAGGTGGCACAGTGCCGACACACAGTGGGTGCCCAACGACCGTGACTTGAACGAATAGATTGATTGATTGATGGATGGATTGCCTCCAGGGCACCCTGCCTGCTCTAGCTGCCAGTCTGGGCTTAGCTGGAGAAGAGTGTGAAGGGCTGAGGGTGGGCAGTGGCCCTCCCTCCTCCTCTGCCCTCTCCCACCATGTCAGCCCCAAGGCCTCCACTGCGTCCAGAAGGTGGAGATTCAGGTAAGTGTGAAGTGTGGCTCTGACCATGTCAGCAGTGAGCGGCAGAGAAAGGGTTTGTACTAGGAAAGTTGAGGTCAGATGGGGGTGAGAGATGAATGAAAAAACTGATGCTCTAAATGATGAAGAAAGGAAACCGATGGAAAGGTAGGTGAATGAGAGGGCAGATGGATGGGTAAATGGATAGATGAATGGATCAATAGGTGGCTGGATAGATGGCTGGATAGCGGACAAATGAGTTGATGGATGGACGGACAAATGAATGATGGATGGGTCAATCGATGAGTGGTTGGGTGGGTGAACAGATGGCTCGGAGAAGGATGAGAAGAAGCAGCTATTATGTCCTGAGTGATTCCTTTGTGCCCTGCCTGCATTTCACACAATCAATCGCATTTAATTCCCATTACAACCCTGTGAGGGAGGCATTTATCTCCCCATTTTACGGACGAAGATAACCGAGTCTCAGGGATGTGAAATGACTTACTAAGGCCTCACAGCTGAGGAGAAGTTGAGGCCAGATTGGTACCCAGGTCAGCTTAGCCTTAAGGGCCGCCTTGCTCTTGATGGGGTCACCACCACACAAGCGGGCACCCTCTGGGGACGGGCAACCCATCTGGGCATCTCTGAAGCTCCCTCCAGCTGGCCTCTGGGGGAGGAAGTCTCTGTGAAGACCTGTAGGCTCCAGCCTGATGTTTACAGCGTCGTTTGGCCCCATAGGAGTGAGGTAGTGAGAGCAGCTCACCCACAGCCAGGTTGTCACCCAGCGCCCTGCCTCCAGGAAAGGGGGTGTGGGTGGGAGGGCGACAGGCGTGATTCGCGGCAGACGAAGGGAGCCTGTTTCATCTGGCCCCGCCATCCCAGGGCCGGTGCTTCAGCCAGCCCCGTAGCCTCAGAGCCCCGAGCCTCAGTGCCCAGTGGGTACAACAGGCATCCTGCTGCCCAGCTCGCTCCCTGGGATACTGGGAACGTACTGTGAGATGATGAATGTGAAGCGTGTGGCACGCAGTCGGTGCTCAGCTTCTAGTGACGGTGATTCCAACCAGTTCTGCCGTGTTCTGCCGGGAACTCTGGCCAAGTCACTTCTCCCTGAGCCTGTCTCCTTCTCTTTAAAACAGGGATGTGGATGCCTCCTCTGCAGCTCTGTTGAGAAGATTCTATTCATTGAACAAAGCTTTATTTTCCCAGGTAACTCTAGGTGCTGCGAATGCGGCAGAGAATAGAACAGACAAACTTTCTTGCCTTTGGGGCAAGATAACATAGCAAATAAGTAAATTACACACCATATTATGTGGGGTTTAGTGGTATAGAGAAAAGTACAGCTGGGAAAGGGGTGATGGAGTGGGGAGGGGTACAGTTTTAAGTAAACATCCGGAAAGGCATATCCCTGAGAAGAGATGTGAATAGAAACCTGAGGCTGGTGAGAAGGGAGCCCTGCGGAGATGTGGGGGAAGAGACTTCTGGGAAAGGAAGCGGCAAGTGCGAAGGCCTGGGGTAGGCAGGACCTGGTGTGTTCTAGGAATAGCAAGGAGGTGTGAGAGGAGGGGATAGGAAATAAGATCGAGAGGTAGTGGAGGTCTTGAGGCTGCGGCTGAGTTGGGAGGCGTGGGAGGGTTTTGAACAGAGGGTTTCACGGGCCGCCGAGTCGGTGATGTGTGAGGAAAGGGCCATTTCTCCCCAGCGGAAAAGCCCCTCTCCTGGGCCTTTCAGAGCTCAGCCCTGCCCTCCCGGCTCTCGCCCCATCCGCTCACCCCCGGTGACCCCTGTGGAGGCTGCAGGAAGCTGGCGGCTGCCCCTGACCAGGGCTCAGACAAGGCTGGCATCAGGAGCCCACGAGCCCCAGGAGCCAGGTGGAGACAGCTCCTCCATCAGCCCCTCCCCTGAGACCCCCAACCTGCAAGGAGGAGACTGCGATGGGCAGGAGGGCAGGTGCCTGGAAGCGGCTGCCCGGCTCCACGCCTAACCCGCGTAACCCAGTGTCACCTTCAGGAACTTTATCTTTTCCATTTGGAAACGGTTTGTGGTCCAGATTTTTCCCGAGGCAGAAACCCCTAAGGATGTGCATGACACAGCCGGGCATAAACCGAAACGGGTTCTAAAACGAAACGACAGAAATCCTCTCTGTCTCCCTCTGCGCTCCTCAGATGATGCTGGGGTGGGGGTCGCTCCTCAGATGATGCTGGGGGTGGGGGTGTGCCCAAGCTTCAGAGCCCCTGAGACTGGCGAGGCTGAAAGGGCCCCACCCAGGGTGGGGGGCCCGGTGGGGGGCAGTGCCTGCTTCAGCCCGCGTGAGCTATGTGCTGACACAAAGGCCTGAATTCCGCATCTTGCTTCCCTCAGTGCACCCATTTTGTGCCTAAGCCCTGGCTCGACTGAAGGCCCAGGAGGGATCCCAGGACAATGGTGCCCCAGCTCCGGGCACTGACCTCGTGGCCATGCATGGACAGGCTCAATCTCTGCACACCCCACATCCCGCTACACACACACACACACACACACACACACACACACGCACACACAGACACACACAGACACCCACACACACACACACACACACACACACACACACACACGAGACAAATTGACCAGAGTCCCCGCCCAGATATCTGCAGCCTGCTGCGCAAGGACAGAAGGGTCCTTGTAATAATGGTACTCACTACCCCTCACGGCAGCTGTGTCTGGCTTTGAGCTGCTGGGGTCGCAGGAACGCTTCGCTCTTTCTTCTGCAGAAAGAACGGAAGAGAAAGAGGCTGAGCTGTGGCCTCCGAGAGACCTTGATTCCACACACACTGCCTGGTCCCACCGCCAGCCCTTTGTCCTTACTCTTCTCTCTGCCCCAAATGCCCTCCCCGCTCCCATTCATACAGTAATGCTGGACCTTTAGGCACCCGAGGACTGCGGGGAACTGGGACCCTGAAACTTCATTCCTCGGGGAAGGGAGCAGTGCAGCTGTTACGAGCATCGAGTGTGGAGTCAGCTGCTTCGTGGCTGCGTGACATCGGACTTCACATCTCTGCGCCTCGGTTTCCCTCAGCGTAAGCTGGCCAAGATGCTCTAAGTGGGAGAATGGAGATGTGGGTGGAGAGGCTGCCTGGAGAATGCAGTGTATGGGACCCAGGGGTGAGCTGAATCGCCCTGAGGTCTTGGGGCCTCCCCAGGAGGCAGGGGTTTTGGGTCTCCATGTTCAGCTGAGCTGCCTGCTTTGGGAGTTCGAGGAGGGGACTGCTTTCTCCACGCAGTCCACCTGCTCCATTCCAGAGCCCCTTACTGTGGACAACTCCTGCATCTTCCCGGCCTCCTGATTGGGAGGGGCTCCCCACCCAGACCCTCTGGCCACTCTCCCTAACTCGTCTTCTGAGTGCCAGTTTCAGGTGCTGGAGATGCTGGCTTTCCAGGGGCTTCTGGAGTAGCCAGAGGCATCAGGAGCCTCGGCCCAGATGCCGGGGAGGGACTGAGACCTGCGGCTGGGTAGGAGGGCTCCCCGGCAGACTCGGAAATGGCGAGGCCAGGAGTGAATGTGTGAGGTCTCTCAGGGCCCCCCCAGTGACAACACCCAGCCCGGCCCCCAACCCCAGGGCTCAGACATCCCCTTCTTGGTCTGACCCCCTGAAGGGGCGTAGGGACACTGGAGCTTGTGTAGATAGATGTGCAAGGCCCGGATCAAGGAAGGGTGAGCTTGGGGCTCTGAGGCACGTGGCCACAGGCCTAGGACTGGAGTTGTGGAGTCTCGGCAGGGGTGTGGCCGGTGGGTCCAGCACCTTCGTGGTACCGTCCCTCTGGGGGCTTCGGGCCCATGCCTGTGCCTTAGGCCCCTCCTCAGAATCTTGGTCTTAAAAGCATCAAACGACACCCAGGATGCCGAAGGAGCCAGTTATTACAGTGGCTAAAAAGCACATTTGTGATATGGTAAGGTGTGTGCTTTTTTCTGAACGCATCGATGATAATGTTGAGTGGCAGATTTAATCCCCACCATAATTTGGGGCCAGAGATGGATGTAAATGACGCTTGCAGAGGTCTGTAACACCAAGAGTGGGATATGAATACATCTGTGACTTTTCTGGGTAATGAAGTTCTAGGCGCTGCCACTGACACCAGCGTTTGCTGCCTCAATTTACAGTGGAAGGAAATGGTACATTTCAGCGGTGCCTGGTAGAAATAGTGATACTCTTCCCATCAAACACACGGCCCCGAGTTCCATCCCTGACATTCCGCCTGCTCCCGCCCGCCCTGCCAGGAGGAGCGGCGACACCAATAATGCCACAGTCAGCGATGGACGGTGACAAGCGGCACCATCACTGGTCTTTATGGGGGCTTTGCGCTGCGCCTCATGGCAGCTGTGTCTGCTCTTCCTGCATCTTATCCTCACCACAGCCCTGCAGGGCGGGCATTAGTATGGTCCCCATTGTGCAGAGGAAGAAACGGAGGCACAGAGAAGTTAAATGACTTGCCCAAGGTCACACAACTTGTAAGTGATGGTGTCAGGATTTTAACCCAAGCCTGTCTGACCCCAGGACCTGTGGTCGTTACTGAATCCTCTGTGTTCAGAGGGACATTCCCTGGGGCTGGGCTGGGCTCCGTGGATATGCAGCTGATTCTGTGTTTATCATCCCCATCCCTAGGCAGGCTAATGGAGTCCAGACGGAGGCGATACGATTGTCCCCGTGCTGTGGATGGGCCAGCCTGGTGGGAGGGATTCCTCCAGCTCTGAACAGAGACCTGCACTGAACCTACTGCCACGATGCCAGTCGGGGTGGTGCCCCGGGGCCAAGGGAACAGGGGGGCAAAGGTGTGTCAGGACCCTATAGACCACCGGGGGACCGTGCACGTCCCTCAGACCAGTGGGTCCTCCTGGCCCCTGGCACTAGGCGAGGCTGTCCCCGAGGAGCTTCTGTGAGATTCAGGTCATCACAGAATGTTTATTAATCCCACAGACAGGATGGGGTCGGGCAGCTCCTCAGGGAATCTGGAGCTGAAGGAGCTGGGCATGGGAAGGAGTGAGGGGGTGGGTTCAGGACGGCTTTCTGGACCAGCCTCCTGGACAGCTGAGAGCCCCAGAGTGGGGAGTCTCCCTCTCCCCTCAGCTCTGGGCTACTTTTTAAATGAATTAATGTGGCGGGGGCGGGGGGGACGCACAGAACCCTTGAAGGTGGTGTAAAGGCACAACGAACTCACAGAGAGCAGCTCACCTCCCTCCTGTCCCCTAACCTCCCAATTCTCTTCTTGGGAGCTAGTTTCTGGTGTCTTTCCAGAAGATTCTATCCAACACCCTAGGGTGTGTGTGTGTGTGTGTGTGTGTGTGTATACGTATCCTGCTTAAATAAAATCCTAATGATGGCATTCAATCCCCTCTCTTCTGCATTGTGCTTTTTCACTCTATCTTAAAGAATTTGCCTCATTAGATCCATTCAACAAATGTTTATTGAGCAGCTACTAAGTGCTATCTTGTGGCCGACAGACCAGACCTCTGTCCTCATGGAGCCCAGTCCTTGCTCCGCACAGCTGTGTGCCCCCCGCCCTGGTGCCATGGTGTCCTCCCCTCTCCAGGGAGCAGTGCAGAGCGGTGCTGCTACAGAGCGGGAACTTCTGAGGTACGTCTTGGTACCCGTGTGCAAGCACGTCGGTGGGATGAATTCCCAGCATCAAGGGAGGTGTCTTCTTCACTTGGCCAGCTGTGGCCAGATCGTGGTTGAAATGTCAGGGCCTGGACTGAGGCAGGGAGGTGACCCAGGCTGGAGGTGATGCCGCTTCTGGTGGAGAGCGAGATACGGAAGCTGGAAGTGGGACGTGTTGGGGGAGGGGAGAAGCCCCCTCTGGCCTCAGGGAGCCCCCAGTTTGAGGGGTAGGCAGGCTTGGAGAGGGACAGTGATGTGATGTGGGAAGCCTGGGAGGCTGTGGGTGCCCAGAGCAGGTGTGGGACCCAGCCGGGGAGGGCAGGGTACCAGGGAGGCCGCAGGAGCCCCCACTGTGCTGGGCGCGTCCGAGCACTGTCGCCGGGAGAGATGCGTCCTCTGTCCACTCGTCCAGTGAATCCCCCGAGGGCCTCCCAAGCGCCAGGCACTGTACTCGGGCAGCACTGTACCCATTCTACAGCAGAGGAAATGGAGGCTTAGACGGGGAAGGCAGGAGCTGAGGCCCCAGAAACCCAGTCTCCTCCTCCCCCCCACTCCGCCCCCTGTCCCTGAGAAGAGCCCAGGCTGTGGGTGCTCCTTAAACAGGAGCTTCCACCCAGACTGACCCCTGGAACTGGACCTCAGGACACCAGGGAGCTTCGTCCACCCCGTCGCTTTATTACATCTACAAGATAACTTGAGTTAAAAAATGCTGCAGTGATAAATGCTTTCTGCACAGAGTCAAAGAACCAAACAAAAGCAGCCCTGAAGCCCCCCTGTCCTGAGTGTGCGAACTACTCTCGTTCCTCGGAGTGGAGGTTGAGCTCTGCTGAGGTGCCCAGCGGGGACCCACCAGGTGGGCCTGAGCCCAGAACACTCAGGAAGCAGGTGTAGACGTTTGCTTCCACACAGAAGTGAACGAGGGGCACAGTCTCCAAACCTCCAGGGTTTTTGCTTTGCTGATGCGAATATATCTGTCGTTTTTCTTAACAGAAATAGGATCATGTAATGGGCCCTATGCTGCCTCTTGACTCTTGGCGAGGGGCCGCGAGGAAGGGGAGTCAGGGTGTCCTGGCCAATTCACTCTCCGTTGTCAGGCCTTACAGACCTACTTCTGTTTCGGAGTCAGGCCCAATTCAGAGAGGAGCCCGAGGCAGCGGGCTCCAGCCCCGCCCCCTTGTAGGATGGAGGGGTGAGGGGCTGGTCCTGGGGACAGAGGCCCCATCCGTGGGGATCTCGACGGGCAGGCACAGGGAAGAGGCGGGCAGTGCCTACCTGGAGTGGAGGGGCTGGTAATTGGCTGGGTTGTCCCAGCGGGGAGGCCTCCCTGGGGAAAGCTATTTTTAACTCTGAGAGCTGAGGCCACTTCCCTCTCTCCCTCTGTTGCCCTTTATTCCCGTCATCCTGGGGCCTGCAGGCCATCCCAGCCCCTCTGGAGGAGGGGAGAAGGGGAACGGGAAGGGCAGCAGGTGGCCTCACCTGCACCCAGTCCTTTACCCTCACGGTTCTGCCAAGGAAGAGGAAAGAGGTTTGGGAAGTTTGCGGGGCTTTGTGGAGGCCTTGCTGGTCTTCTTACATCTACCAGCAACCCCTCGAGGGCGTGGAGAGGAGTCTTAGAACCCACCTCAAAAATCTCTCAAGTTACAAAAGGGATTATTGCCATTGCAAAACTCGAAGTTCGGGGATGGACTTAAAGGGCCCCATAGGCCGTGTCTGGAGTCTGTTTCTTGCACCCTCACCTCTGCTTTCCTCTGGGTGGGGGTCCTCTCAGGTGGGCTCAGCCCACATCGGGGCAAAGGTGTCCCCAGCGGCCCCTGGGCGTAGAGCTCCTTTCCCAGCTGATGCAGCCAAAGTCTTAGGGCCGGTTCTCCTTGGCTGGCTTTGATCACATGTCCACACCCCCAATCAATCACAGTAAAGCTCACAGCCAGGCCTGGGTCACCTGCATCCTGGGCCGGCTGTGGTCCCAGCCATCCCTCCAGCAAGCAGATGGTAGAGGGCATGGGTAGGTGTGGGTAAGGTTCTCAGGAGAGGGGCTTAAACAGTGGGAGAATGTGGACCACTGATGCCCCCAAAGTGGCCCAGCCAGGACAGCACCCGCCCAACGCACAGAAGGTATTGGATCCAGCGGCCTTCACCCCGGTGCTGCCCCCTGGCCTCCAGAGAGCTGCAGCTCCAGGGGCGCGGGGAGGAGGCCGCGTGCTGAGCCTGTGCAGGAGGCAAGCGTCAGCCGGCCAGCTCCAGGCTGAGATCGATGCCGGCTTCCTGACGGGGTGGGCGGGACTCAGTGTCCTGTTTCCAGGGCTGCACTCCGTTCCTGAAGTTCTGCTCTCCTCAGATCGATGCCGTAGGGTCAGCCCGGGGTTGCAGGTGCCTGGGGACCGGGGAGCGCAGGGCCGGGAGCTCGCAGGCTGTCACTTTCTTGACCTCTCCCTGCCATCATGTCTCTGCGGCACCCCTGACAAAGGGCCTCGGCCTGCACACCTGTCATGTCTTCCCCAGGCAATCTCTTCCCACTGTTTTGGGGGCCCTGGGCTGTGAGCATGCTGGGCGGACGTTGCCCCTGCCCTCATACAGCTGACAGACCTTGGAGGAGACAGACAGTAAACGAGATGCCGCAGAAAGTGGCCAGCTGGGAAGAAAGTAAAACGGGGGATGGGAGACTCTGTGCAGAAGACTGTAAGCTGCCCCCGAAGGAAGAACAGTCTGGGGAGAGAGCCCAGCAGCAGAACCAAGCTGGCTGGCCGGTGTGTTGGGAACAGGGGGGCTGAGGAGGGGGTGCACTGGAGCTTTGGTTCTCAGTCGTGCCCTGGGAGGCCATGAGCCCATTCTATGTTGCGAGGGTCTCCTGCTGAGGAAGGAGAAACCCGGGCAGGCTCCTGGGAGGAGGCAGCCCTTGGGGCTGTGGAGCTCGGAGGGGTCTTGGGGGCATCGAGGCAGCAGCCTGATGGGTGGGGTGCCCAGTTTTCACATCTCAGTCAGTGGTTAATTTATGCTGGTGTCATCATATTAAGATACAAGTATTACAGGAGCCGGCACCTCTGAGCGTGTGGCCACTCAGACCAGTAAACCCCAGCCTGCGGGGGGCCCCCTACCCACCCCACCCCTGCTCCTCATGGCTTTGTGGACTCGGGAGCAGTCTCCCGTCTCTGGGCCTCACATTCCTCAAATGAAGGAGTGGTTCCAGAGGGACCAGGGGCTCTTTGCCTCCTGGCCTGTGGCTCTGAGAATGCCCGGCTCAGCAAATGTTTTCCTGAACAGCTACTGTGTGCTCCGCCCAGGGCTGGGAGGGCCTGGGTCCCACCCTGGAGAGGAGGGGAGAGTTTCAGGGTTCGGGAAAGCTGGGCACATTCAGAGGGTGCTGGGAAGGGCCGTCCGTAGCCAGAACTCCTGCTGTGTGCAGGACACCTACCTCCTCTGTCTCACTGGCTTCTCATGCCTGGGAGGGCGTCCTGGGAGGGCGGGTATTTTATGGAGAAGGAAGTGGGACCTCGCAGGGAACATGTCCAAGGTCCCTCTACCGGCCCTGCTTGGCCTTCCTCCACGCCACAGGGAGGTGTGACGCCCCCCACTGCTCTGGGCAGTGCCCTGGGAGGGCCGAGAGCCCTCTGCCCACAGACCGGAAGCCCTGGGCCCCTCTGTGCTCCAGTTCCTGCACTGGGACGAGGGCGAGTCCCCCCCGCCCCGGCCGCCCTCCCCCTGGGAAGCTGGTTCCCCTTGTTGTGCAGTCAGGGACTGTGTGTCCAGGTAACAGTGACTGCTGGTGGGGTGCGTTTAGGGTTAGGAATTGAGTTCCCACCCAGCTGGTAGGTCGGGAGGGAGGGGTGCAGAGCCTGGAGGCCAGCAGCCTAAGGAGTTAGGCTCACACCTCTGCGGCACCTTCTTTGCTGGGTGACCTTGGGCAGGATACTCGCTGTCTCTGTGAAATGGGTCTGATGATGGCTCTGGGGGAGGCTCGGGGCCCAGGGGGATGACCAGCTTGCCTCACGCTGGCCTTCTTGGTGAGCAGCTGGGTGGGTGTCTGTGTGTGTGGGGTGTTCTGGGGCTGAGGAAGCCCTGGGTACACCCCCTTGTCCCAAGAGCTGCCAGAATCCTAGACCCAGTGTTGCCCCAAGGTACTCCTGTCCATTCCCCAGCTGAGACCATTTGCTGGAAGCGTCTCCCAGCTGCGGGGCATCCCGGCTCCTCTGGGGACCCAGGATGGGTGTCTTGGGGCCCCTTCCTCCTACGGTAGAACCGTGTCCTCTGGGAAACTGGGCAGGGGAGGGTGGGGAGCTGAGCCACTTCCCTCCGCGGTCACTGTGAGAGGGAGAGGGAGGAAAAGTTTCCTGAGAGCTTTTGGTCCCCCGGGAGCTGGCCTCTGAGGAGGAGAAAACCAGGACCCTGCATACCAGTCGGGCAGAACAGGTTGGGGGCATGGGGCTGGAATCTACTGGGATGCCCCTTCTCTCTGCTGTAGCCCCTCGCAGCCGTCAAGGCAAGGGGCAGGGGCTCTCATACTGGGGACAGATATGCTCCCGAACTTGTGAAATAGGGCCACTGTCATGGTGACGATGAAGTGTCTTCGAGAGCGAGCGCTTGGTCAGCGGCCGGCGTCTACCCAGCCGTGAGCCTGCCAAGGCCGTCAGGTGTGCTCTGTCCTCAGTTCTCACTGCAGCTGCAGGACGAAGGCGAGGCAAGTGAGGCACGGAGAGGCGAGGGGATCTGCCTCTGCAGCTGGA